ATTAAGAGAGTTGCAGTATATTGATCATTATTATTTACCACTGTAAAACTAATCGACATGTAACGAAATTTAAAGCAACACATTTATTAGAGCGGATCCAAACAACATATATATAATGTTTGGACTGTGATGAGCCTAAATAAAGCAATACATAGACAATACAATTTATTTATCGAATTATAATGTATCGAGGCAGAACTATTATATATCGTAATACTCATATTAAGATCTTTGGACCTTTTTTGAAAGTATAACAAACTTTTTTCAAACTAGATATGTCACCTTCAAATACGCATGACACAATAAAATTAATGGTTTTGTATGAAAAGAAGAAGAAAAAAAACGTCAACTTTTGAATGGTCAATATATATAGTTATATACCATCTAATTTGAGTAATGTGAATAAGGCTATCTTAGCTTATTTATGGCGTCACCGTCCTTACTATGAATAGTAAAAAAAAGAAGAAGAAAAGTCCTCATATGAATAAGCATGTGGACTTTGAAATTCACTAATCTTACCATGCTAGATTTATAGGTTGTACTTTATTTTAAATGTTAGTCTATAAGGATGGAAGACTCATATTCTAGGACCAATATACAAGTCTTGTTACATAAAATGCATTTAAACCAAAGCAAGTCACCCAAACAGAAATAAATGAATTCCCATCAAAATATCTTTGACAAATTAAAGAGGATTTTCCTATATTCATCATCACAATAAAAGATCTTTTCTACTACAAGAAAAAGTGTTTTCTATTAAAATATTTTTTTTATTTTCAAGACTCGAATACTATTATGTTTAATCATACTATCACTCTTTCCTGCTGCTTCTTTCAATTTATAACAGTTAATATATTACTCCAGTAAAAAGCTTTGTGCGTGATAACTTCAAGTCTTCTTTGGTTCTCCTTAGTAAAAAATAGTTGTAAAAAGCTTTGGGTTTAAAAATGACAATGTTTTTGAATTATTAAGATGATTTTAAATAAATATTTAATAATAATAAATATATTTAGGGATTATACTATATATCTTTCCAACATATATGTATACTTGCAATTGAAGTTCAGTTACATTATTATTATTGTCTAAAATAAACATTGCAGACATGGCACTTCGAAATTTCTCAGTACTTCAAAATAAAAATAATGCAAATATTTTATTCCAGAAAAATGTTACAACCTCATCAAACATGAAAGTAAAGTAAATATTGGCTTACAATACAAGATATAAGTAATACAAAAATAAAAGACGTTACATACTATATATCATCCTGACTTATAATCTAGGGGAATTTATTAAAGTCTAGGATGATTCGACATGTGTGTAGTAATTTGAATAAAATGATTTTACATGTTCACTCGACATGTGTGTATAGGTTTAAAGGTAACCTAGGCGTAGCAACAACATGTAGTGGAGTTTGCATGTATGTTACTGTGCCAGGACTCTCCATCATATCAATATCTTTAACCTCAACACCATTAGGCAGTGACCAAACAAAATGGTGCAACAAATGAGCTAACATAGACGTGACCAAATTAATTGCAAGGTTCATTCCTGGACATATACGTCTACCAGCACCAAATGGCAAAAACCATACGTCTACCAGCACCAAATGGTAAAAACTTATAATCATGTCCCTTCATGTCAACATCCTCTTCCATAAATCTTTCTGGCCAAAATTGCAATGGCTCTTTCCAAATTTTTGGATCACGACCTAACGCCCACACATTAACATGTACAATTGAATCTTTAGGAATTTTGTAACCACCCACTTTGACATCGTTACCTGCCATGTGAGGCAACATTAGGGGAGTTGGAGGGTGCAACCTTAGTGATTCTTTGACTACATGTTGTAGATAGGAGAGATTAGAGATATCGGTTTCGTTTACGATTCGATCTGATCCAATAACTCGATCTAGCTCCTCTTGAACTTTTTGTTGAACTCTTGGATTCCTTACCAGTTCTGCCATAGCCCATTCAACTGTTATGGCTACTGTGTCTGTCCCTGCTTGTACCATATCCTACAAACAAAATAAAATATAATTAAATATAAAAATCGTGTATAAAAGTTAAAATTATATTAACTAGTATATGTATACTTACCCAAAAAAGGCTAATAATAGAGTCATCGCTAAGATCATACTCCTTTTGAAGGGTAAGCAAAGCATCAACAAAATGATGTTTGGTTTCTCCAGATTTTTCTCTAGCAATTGTGTGTTCTTCCATTATAAGTCTTGTAAATTTATTCAAACGTCTATCTTGTGACTCAAGAGCTTCATTGTCATCTTTAAATACCCAACGTAGCCATGGTACAAATTCTCCCAAATTAGGTTTTCCTGAAATTCTTATCCCATCTGTTACAATGGCTTTGAGCTCTTCACCTTGTTCATCAACTTCACCTTTTGAGTTTATAAATCTCTTCCCAAATGTTAGCCTTGTTATGTTGTTGAATGACACTAATCCCAAGTAGCCCCTTAGCGTCATTGTTTCACTATCATTACCTGCTCACCAAAGACAGATTTAGAATTTAAACTCAAAAAAAAATTGTTTAAATGTCGCTCACCAACCATGTGTGTAAATAATTGTATATATTTAATGTATAATTTATGTATATCGACTAAAAGTATAAACAATGAATTTGACCAAGTTTTTGATAAAGATCCCTAAAAAACTCTATGGGTTGAATATGTAGTTCAATATCATTGGAACTTCAACTTTCTAAGCCCTAGTATCATAAAATATTGACTAAAGTATGATGATCAAATAATTAATCACTTTGACTATTGTATTTAATATTATATTATTGTATTGCTTATTAAGAAAGTATGTTTTTAAAAAAAGGGTGTGGTATGGTTCAATTCTATCTCCTATCATGGAATATTAAAGAAAAGACTTTCCCGTTGAACAATATTTAATTTAATAAAATACTTCTTATGAAACTCCATTTAATCATTATTTATATAATTAAAGACCTAATTTCATCAAGGTTTTGAATATTATTCGATCGAAGAAATCATGACAATGATTGGTCTATACTCCCATCATTTTCGTCTACAGTCAGAGTTTTCATTCTTAACCAATTAAATACGTTAAAAAGAAAAGAAATTTTTTATCTATAACTGGACAATATTTTAATGACCAAACTACACAAATATCCGATGTGTATGCCAAAAATGTTGTTTAAACTAGTCATGTGTAACTGTAACCTTTTTATCAATCCTAACTTATTCTGAAGTAAGTAAACATGCAAAAAAAATAAAAATTAAATGGATACATATTAAATAGCGGTGTACATGCTAAATAAAATTAACATACCAGGCTTAGTGGTGTCCTTGAAAATATTTTCAACCATGGCAGTAACTTCAACTTCTCTAATTGGCCTAAGAGCTTCAAGTCTCTTTTGAGTAAAAAGTTCAAGATTACAAAGCTTTCTTACTTTCACATAATGAGGTCCATAATCAGCCCATATCAAATCCATCCCATTTTTACTCACACTATCAAGAGGTTTTGTTCTAAACCTATTGGCCAAATTTTGATCATTATCTTTAAGAACTTCTTTAGCAAGTTCCGCATTATTCACCACCACGTTTAGTTGTGACCCAAGGTAAAAAGAAAAAATTGGCCCATAAATTTGGGCCCATTCAGC